CTTTATTGGCTCTGAAAACTTTTCTATGTTTTTTGTAGTTAAGTACAAAGCTACACAATGGGCTATCTGTGCTGTGCCAAACACGGATAACGAAACCCATTTTCTGGCGTTATAAGTCCACAGACTTGCTGCTGTACCACTGGGAGCTAGGTTTGTTTGTTTGTTTGTTTGTTTATAATTAAGCACAAATCTACACAATGGACTATCCGTGTTGTACCCACCACGGGTATCGAAACTCTGTTCCTAGCGTTATGCGTCCACAAATTTATCACTGTGGCACAGGGGAACAAAAACTTGTGTATCGTTTATTCAAAAATAAATGACATCTTTATCTCTAATTGTAATCATTATCTTGACACATCAAACAAATTATTGAAAGTACAAATTTCATTTTTCTTTATGTTCGAATTTGGGATTAAGATATTACAGCTGTACATTTTCTAACAATTGTTTTACATATATCTCTTATGTTTAATGTTTTATTTCAATTACAGTATCTTAAATAAAATGTTAAATCTTTTCAGAAGAAACCAGTTTGCACCTACGATGGTGAAACCAGAAGATATACTTGAAACCTTACAGCTCATATTTGTTGTACAAGAGCGTTAAGTAGTGGAACTTAAAACGTGAATTTTTACTATACGAATAATAACATCAAACATTGCCTGAGTCATTTCATCATGAAGCAAAGAATATGAATTAAGGATATTTTGTTTTGAGCATAGAAAAAATATATTTAAACCATTATTTTATAAACTTCTGCTAATGTGTGTCCGTCAAATCTAGAATGTACCATTAGGGCCCCCGGAAACTAATATAGCGGTCAATGTTCGGATATGAAATCTCTATGGCACTCTGCTGGGATACCTTATGTCTTTGCATGCGTTGTGTCCGCTTATAGCTGTCAAACTATTAATCACTGTTATAAGGTTAAGTGTAAGGAACATCGGTTGGAGTTCTGAGGAATGAGAGGTTTACAGTAGTCTAGGTCATTAGAAAGTAATTGAAGTGAGCTGTTAAAGCGTCCGCCTTTCTAAGTTCAGTCGCTATAGAAAAGACAAGATTTCTATGGTTTTCAAACATTATAATCCGATATATGGGAAACAGGTGCAAAGTAAGAAAGAAAGGGACCTGTTCTATGTAAGTTTGAGAAAGGAACTTAAAAAACAGGAGTCAACGGGAGAAGCTACAAAGAACAGATAAATCAAGAGAGGCGAAGGAAAAAAGTAATATGCTGCCAGTAAGAGAAAACATATTTCTAAATCTATGTGTTACTGATTTCTAGTAATAAAGAGCAATTTGTTATGTCTAGATTGGTATGAGTCAATCCCTGATAGGAACAAGTACAAACTAAATAAAAAGGAAGGCGAATTTCGAGAAGAGCACAGTCTTTAACAAATCACTAAACCTGGAATGCACCCTTAGAGCTTCCCCAGTTGGTGCTGGATCTGACCCCCTCATGTCACGCCTTGCTAGTCAGGTAGTTGCCAATAACAGGAACTGATAGAGAGATTCAAGAAGGAAAAACTAGTAAATACTTCTAGTTAAAATTATGAATATTTAAAAGGGAGAACTTCATTAACAGACTAGAACTGCAAAATGAAAAATTTAACTATACTAAATTTAACTTTACCATTTTGCATTCGTGCAAAATATGCTATTTGATATAATGAAATATATTTCGGTGTAGTTTTATTATAAAAAATCAGTAACTTTAAGTGAAATAAATATAAAACTAAAATGACCATTACACGGGATTTTTAAAGCAAAGCAGCAATAGAATGTATTTAGAAACTACACTAATCAACGGAATGATTTTTCTTAAAACACAGAACAGTAAATAAAGAAGCAAACAATTACCTCTTCTAGATATGATCTTTGTACCCAGTTGCTGCTTGACGTAAGTTGCTAAGCCTTTTAAAATTTTGCACGTGGAGAATATGAAACAAAATAATCTTTTTAAAGTTTTATATAAACATTTGAATAACGAAACAAATCATAAATTACTACATGAATACCATAGAATTCCACTAAGATATATAAGTCTTAAGACAGCATTACACAATTTTCATCATATTAATTACAGATTTGCATAAGATGTATTGGAATAAACACAATATTTCAGGGTATTCATGAGAATTAATAAATATTTTAGGAAATTTAAAAGACTAGAACTAACTATTCCTGAAAATCTGTAGGATTAAATACAGTTTTCTAAGTTCAAAAAGTAAGATTAAAGATAATATTCAAAGGATTATACAAGAAAAAATTTAACATACAGAATAAATAGTATCTAAGATAATAGTCCGAAGATTAACAGGATTAAAAAATCATTTTCGGCGAATATAATACTAAATATAATATATTAGGGTTTATAGAAATAAAACAATACTTCACAAAATATATATATAATGCAGAGATGTGAGTACGATATATTAAAATGACTCTCAAAATGGAAATAAGCAAGTGATGTGAAAACCACAGCTGATATAAACTTGTGGTGAAACATTGTTTTTGCGTTACATGGATAGTGTGATGTCATCACAAATTGATTGCTTTTGTAACAACCATTCCCAACGCAAAATGTTCATACACTCGATCATAAAGATGTGTTCTGATTGAGGATTTAGAGTTTTCAAGATGGGGTTATATCTTGTATTTTATGGTATTGAAAAATAAATGATTATGGATGAACTTGGAGGATCAGTATCATTCAGAAAGAGACCTGCAACAAGTCGTACCCTGCCGTGGAAAACAAAGTGTGGTGTCTTGTAACAGGTGAAAATCTACAAACACAGAGGTCAGAGGCAATAGCCATCAACGTTCTCTAGTAACAGAACGCAACATAATCAAGAAGGATCTCTTCTGGAAAAGTATAGCATGTCAGATGTACACAAGTTCCTTCCATGAAATACCTGTTCAGCCTGAAGCACCTGTATAATTAAACGGGTATTCATAAAATTCTATACGAAGGCAAGTTGTTGGATGCAGAACCTATAGATTTCTGCACGATCGGACTGTTGAAACAGGCGCTGGGATATCGTAGCTGGATAATGAAAGACATGCAGGGAAGCTCAGTTTGCTTTGGACATAACAACCTTAGAAGAAGCCATTTGCAATGGTAAGAGAATTGCAAGGATATTATCAAGATTTATTATTGTCAGCTAGAGGTATAGCCGTATGTGGCGACAGGAATTGTAAAATCGTTTTGGTATAACGTAGTTACTCTCCGTTTTTAATATAATGTTCTTGAAGATTTAGGGGACTAAAACATTTTACTTGGCTGATATATAATACTAAAGACAATATTCCAGGAGATTTACGATGATAAAAGTATCATTTTAAGGAATATAAAATACTAGGAAACAATATTCCAAGGTTTATGGGACTGAAATACGGATATTTAATATTAAAGACAATGATCTTCAGGATTGATTGGACTGAATTTAGTAGTTCATGTCATTTATGGATTCAAAACAGTTTTTCATAGCATATAAATATAAAACTCTAAAAACAATAATGTAGGTTTTAATATATATGAAAACCTATCTTAGTGATATGTAAAATTCAAGTAACTATTTTAGGGATTTATGCAACTGAATGAATATTTCAGGATACGTATACTGTAATACAAAAAGTAACATTCCAGGATATATAAGATAACACTTTAAAGAATATTATGTGACTTAAAGGCAATATTTCAGGGTATATAAAATATTATAGACTGTATTTAAGATAGGTAGCTATAAAGTACACGACACAAACTTTTAAAATCAGGTTTAAAACTTGATTCAGTGCAATACTTATATATTAAAACTGCCCTTAATTACAATTATTTTCAGCTTACCTAAACTTTAGAATAATATATTTATAAGAATTATATTGTGCATAATTGAGTTAACTGCCTCTTCCTCTCAAACACAGTATGTTTTTCTAACATTGTTATTGTTACGATTGTCATACTCTTAATATAACAACCAAAACTAAATTAGAACAGAAAAAAATCCGGTAAAATCCTAACTAGTGGAACATAAGAAACAATCCATCGTTCAACTTAAGAACATGTGTACCCCTTTATGGTTAACAATATTCATAGATCTTCGTCTTAACACATTCGTTGTACTTGATACAATTCAACAGAAACAGTTCCATAATCAGAACCCTTGTATTTAGTAAGTTTAGTTTAATCAAGTAAACTTATAACAACCCATCGTTTCTTAGGGGTATTTACTTGCACCACACTTGTGTCTGTACAACAACTTTATTACCATTCTTTAATGCCCCCTAGTGGCTTAGTGGTAAGTCTGTAGGCTTTTGATGCTAAAAATCGAAATTCGATACCCGTGGTGGGCACAGCACAGATTGTAGATTTGTAGTTAACAATAACCAACCAACCATTCTTTAAATAAATTGCCATTCTGAAATTGGCTTGATAAAATCAATAAAAGAGAGGGCAAAGTTTCTACAATCAAAGAAAACAGATGAAAATAAAAGAACCTTAATTGTTTTTCGTTACACATACATAAGTGTTCGCAGCGTTTACTGTACTTCTGATACCAATCTGATAAAATCAATGAGCTAGAATGTTTATGTTTGCAGCGAGTCTCTCAGTAAATTTAAAGAAAACAAAACAACTATCGATATATTTTTATTACACATACAATAATCTTGACCTTGTCTGAAGTACACACAATACAGAACTATTAACAAACATGATTATTAAAGCAATTACACAAACATGAGCAGCAGTTGAAGAACAGCCAGCATTTCCGCTTTATGATAAAGTTATGTTTATGAATAGCATATTTTTATACAATGTTATCGTCATTCAACTGATGCTATTACTATATTAGCTTAAGGTATTTTGTTTCTGTTTCTTTTTTTGGGGTTTATAATTTAACCATTATTTCCAGTTTGGTTTTTATATTAGTTATGTTGTTATTATTGTGAATAAATAAACTATTGTTTCTATTTGTTTTATATTATTTCTGTTTGTGAGTATATTATCGATTTTCAAATTTTTGTACGGTCGTCGTGAGGTTATTTGCCCAAACTTTAAAGCTTTCATTCGTTTCATTTAATTTTTTTTTTTGCATTATTTACGAAACGTCTGAGTGAAATAATTAATTTTATCATTAAACAATATATAGTAAGATTTAGAAAACAGTTTCTATCTAACTTACCTTACGATCAACAGCAATATTTTTAATTATCAAAATAAACATAAGATTTGTTAGGAATCGGAACTAATATCACATAAACAAGATATCGCTTATAAACTAATTGATTTGGAATTTAAATTGAAACGGCAGGAGATTAGTAGTTCTTTTTCCTGGAAGAAAATCATGTTGCTAAATATGTTTGTAGATCAATTTAATGAATAGAAACAGACAGAAATGATGAATTCTTGTGGGTGATCTAGTATTGAAATGACATTTGGTAACGTTCAACATGACCATTTAGATAAGCACTATAATAAACGAAGGAGATAACAAATAAACTTATAAAAGTACGAAACAATCGTACATCCTACCTTTGGTAGCAGTCGTAGTATTTTATGATAAAAACTGTATCTTAACTTTATTTTGGCTATTTTGTATATTTATGAAGTGTGTTGTTTGCATTGCATTCTAACGGCATAACAGGAATGTTTGTAAATCCAAAAATACTTAGAATCTATTGATTAGGGGCAATTCTCTCTCTGTCTCTTATTTTTTTTAAAGAAAAACTACAACAAAAATTACTGCCTGGTCTCATTTTCAGAATTTTAGAATACTTTTTTCGATATAACTATTTACATTTTAACGCGGTTAACAGCTGGTAAAATATAAAGCGCAAAAAAAATGATAGGCTTCTCTGATCAATCAAAGAATGATTATAAAATCTGTAATCAGACAAGAAGTAAAATCTGCTTTTGTACGTTTTATTGTGTTTTTCTTATTTCTGGCAAACAAGGTCACGATTTTCAGTCTTCCTTAGTCATCTGTTAGGGGAAAAAAAAGGATAAGAAAATACGGTTATTACTTTTACTCCTGTGAAACTAAACAACGAAGTGTTATTAATATATTAAAAAATGAAGGTGGGTTGTGAGAAGTGAAATTTGCCTATTCTATGTGCAGGTTCTAATTTCAAGATCTCCATGGAGTTATCGCCAGCTACTATAACAAAATGGAAAGATGCTTACTACAGTACACAGGAGGTTACTTGCTAGGTCAAGTAATCTACGCAAGCACTCATTTTGGTCACAAGGGAAATTACTTTTCTTAGATGAGTAATTTCTCCCTTTCTGAAAGTTAATACACCATGCTAATATATATATCATGCTAACATATACACCATGCTAATATATGTATCCTGCTAACATATACACCATGCTAATATATATATCATGCTAACATAGACACCATGCTAATATATATATATATCATGCTAACATATACACCATGACAACATATACACCATGCCAATATATATATCATGCTAACATATACACCATGCTAATTTATATATCATGCTAACATATACACCATGCTAATATATATATCATGCTAACATATACATCACGCTAACATATATACCATGCTAACACATGTATATATCATGCTAACATATACACCATGCTAATATATATATCATGCTAATACATACACCATGCTAATATATATATATATATATCATGCTAACATATACGCCATGCTAATACATACACCATGGTAATATATATATCATGCTAACATATACACCATACTAATATATATATATCATGCTAACATATACACAATGACAATATATTCACCATGCTAATATATATATATCATGCTAACATATATATATCATGCTAACATATACACCATGCTAATATATATATATCATGCTAACATATACACCACGCTAACATATATACCATGCTAATATATATATATATATCATGCTAACATATACACCATGACAACATATATACCATGCTAATATATATATCATGCTAACATATACACAATGACAACATATACACCATACTAATATATATATCATGCTAACATATACACCATGACAACATATACACCATGCTAATATATATATATATCATGCTAACATATACACAATGACAACATATACACCATGCTAATACATATATCATGCTAACATATACACCATGCTAATATATATACCATGCTAACATATACACCATGACAACATTTATATATATATACCATACTAACATCTACACCATGACAACATATACACCATGCTAACATCTAGACCATGACAACATATACACCATGTTAATATATACACCTTGCTAACATGTACACCACGCTAACATATATACCATGCTAACATCTACACCATGACAACATATATACCATGCTAACACATACACCTTGCTAACATGTTCACCACGCTAACATATATACCATGCTAACATCTACACCATGACAACATATACACCATGCTAACAATTATGCACCTTCGAAAGTGTAGAAGAATAAAATTGCATTGAAAAATATCTAACGCTAAAAGTTGAATTATAATAAATACTACATTTCAATATCAAGCATTCGTATTGATATCTTTATAAATATAGAAAAGACATTCATCAAAACAAGTACCTAGAATTATTGGAGGACAATAAAAAATAACGGCAATTGCTTTCTTTCTTTATTACATATATATATATATATATATATAGATTGATAGATTTGAGTTCCAAGGAAACGAACCGTACATGGGTTAAATGTAAAAACTGAGAGTTAATTAGTTCTCTATCACAACTGTAGAGGAAATAGTTGTGAGGATAGATCAAAATATTTTGTTGTGTATAGGTAAGACCCATATATGTTGGGAAATAATCTTACCTTCTACATGAAGTAATGCAAAACTTATGGATTCTAACAGACTTACGTCTAACTGTATGTTCTAGTAGATTGTACAATTTTCTTTCATTTCATCTATGCTAAAATATGGCTTTCCCTAATAAGACCTATTTAACAACGTAAAATATTTTAAAGCTATTTTGATGTTGTTTTCTTTTTATTAATCACTTCCCTGAGGAAAATATATTTGATTTCTTGTATACGATGAAAAACCAAAGTTGGTCACATTAAGCTGGCAATAAAAAAAATAATAATTTTGCAGATGCTTTTTCTTGTGTATGTGCAATATACACATACAAACACATATGAATACAAATATGTACATAATTTTCTGTTTATTTTTTGTGTCAAGCCTTGTACACTTCTATAGTTTGTGTTTCAGAACTTTTAGAACTCACAAAACAAGAAAATCACTAACTTAAATTCTAGGTACATTGAAATCAATTTTTCCCGATAAATGATTTTTATTTATTTTAACTATTATTATTTTATAATTCAAACAAAAGGTTAATTTTATTTGTTTGTTTTAGTTGTTACACTTACAAAACATATTGAGTTTATTTCGTTAAAGACAAGTTAATAGGAGCTTTTAGTTCTCTAAATAATTTTCGTTTCGAAATTTGATTAATTCTAACTTTAGCTTAATTTAAAAAAAGGAATTTGAATTTCAAATCATTCATGTGTTTCAGGAACGCCCAATGACTAATAAACTTCTACACTTTTCCTTTTCTTTATTTCAAAAGTGCATTACCACTCTGAAGCCCAATAACTTCCAGTATTTTTATGATCACAACAGCAGAGATTCCAAAAAAAAGTGGAATTAATATGAATAAGCGATAAATAAATGATATAAACGAACGAATCCTACCATCAAGTTAAAAACGTTTGTAGACATATTCTAGGAAAATATATATGAATGATCTATGAAAACTTGTTAAAGTCATAATTAATTTTAAAAAAAAATGTTTTGCTTTGTGAAAGAAAAAGTTAAAGTAGCATGGGCGCTTCCAGAGAATCTCTCTGGTTTTTACAAATCATTTTTGAATTTCGCGCAAAGCTACACGAGGGCTATCTGCGCTAGCCGTCCCTAATTTAGCAGTGTAAGACTAGAGGGAAGGCAGCTAATCATCACCACCCACCGCCAACTCTTTGGATACTCTTTTACCAACGAATAGTGGGATTGACCGTCACATTATAACGCTCTCACGGCTGAAAGGGCGAGCATGTTTGGTGTGAGAGGGATTCTAACCCGCGACCCTCAGAATGCGAGTCGAGTGCCTTAACCACCTGGCCATGCCGGGCCTTTTAAATCTCTTATAGTATATAGTAAAGTTCGTACTTTTGTGTTATATACATATATATAAAGTATGTTTTGCCCTTGTAAAAGAGAAGTGCTTTACATACTTCTAGTATAACAGACATTTCGAAGTGTTCATAAGAATTAACAAAAATTAAAACATTATTACGTCACTTCGAAGGATGCCTGCTATGCCTTAAACTATCCAAAATCAACATTTCTTTTATTAATGCTAACCAGGGTTTGTATATAGAATGCAGAAGTTAAGAACATTTTAAAATTCCTAATGGAGTTGTTAGTTAACTATCTTGTTAATTAAAAAGGCAAAACAATAGGCGGATTCGTGACAATTTTTAAAGACTAAAATTTAAGGTTATTCGGCACAGGTCTGACAAAATCTGAAAGTTAATTAAATTGTTAAAATATCAGTTATGGCCCAGAAAATAATAAAACCAATAACTTGAAACTTTTAGATTTTCCGTAAAGATTATTATGCTTATAATCTATTTTTACCAATGTTAAACAATTATTAGCTTCAAAGTACCTAAAAATATACAATTCCTAATTTATTTATTGTATGATAAAAATCAACGCATTAAAAACTTAATACATAGCTTGTATATTATTGCGGAAAATAACTAATACTTTATAGAAAGTATTAGTCTCATAATCTAAAGACAATCTGTTATAAAGATATGATTGTTGATTTATGTGAAGATACTTTTTGAGTGTTGCATAATATGATCACTCTAATGAAGGGATTGATTTAGAAAAAAATAACACTATGTGAATGAACACGGTGTGTTTGGATTAACTGCTGATTTTAATTGTACGGTTTTGATACTTACCTGGTTACCATAGCATCTTGATATTTTCCTCATTTATTCATAATTTTTATTCCATATAAGCCCAGATGATCTGTTGAGTCGTGGAGAACAGATTTATACAGAACTAGAAGCTTAGCGATAACATCAAACTTACAATGCAAATATTTCATAAAACAACAAATGGAACGGTTTTATTACGTAAAGACCTACGTATTATTGATTTCTACACCAATCTACCAGCGTAAGGGTCCCTCCCGATTTTCACCACCCACTCTCGTTCTTGCGATGTTCCCCCTCGTAGTTGATTATCCATTCGATATCTGTTTTCGTGCCGAGAGTCTGGTATCACAGTACTACATTTGATTTTCAAATCGTTAACAGTTCTCTGTCGGAACCACAGCACAGCTACAAGCAAAGCAACCAGTAGAATGCCAATCGCTGCAAAAGACCAGGTAAGAATCTTTTGAGTTTGGTACTCGTGACAACGAAGGTCGTCTATCGACAAGCCTTTTAGCATGAGATCACGAAGTACAGGTGGATTTTCACAACGAATGTGGGTAAGATCAAAATCAAATGATTCCGAATAGTTCCGAGTTTGTAGGTGGTGTAGCAGCCACGAAAGGCTACAATTACAGATTAGAGGATTGTCTCGAAGATCGAAGCGCTCTAAGTCACTCCAGGGCAGAACATCTTCACTGAATGTTTGGAAGTTATTTCCCCGGAGACTTACGGCACGTAGAAGAGTGAAAGAAGAAAACGCGTTTCTGTCAATATAACTGAGCTTTTTGTTGTGATTAAAAATAATATTTTGCAATCTAATATTAGGTAAAAAAGCTTCGCTTTCAATTCTTTCTAGAAAGGGGGCGCTGTTTATCGTGATGGTCTGAATATTGCTTAAGCTGTTGAAACTTTTTGAAACGATTGCTTTCATGTAATTTTGTCCCAAATTAAGCTCTAACAGTTTTCTAAGGTAGAGAAATGCCTCAGTCGGAATAGAATCCAGTAAGTTATCTTGAAGAATAAGATACAATAGGTTCTTCAGTCCTTTAAAAGCACTTTTGTGAATTTTACGTATTCCACAGCTACCTAAACTTAACTTTTCCAAGTTGGCAAGATTAACAAAACTGTCTTCGGGCAAAATTGGGAAATTATTCAAGTCTAAATCTATGCTAAGTACATGAGAAAGGGTTCCAAATGAAGACGAAGGGACATGGCCGAGTTTATTGTCCTTGAGCAGGAGAATTTTCAGGTTTCCTAACCCCACAAAAGCATCCTTTGAGATGGTATCAATACTGTTTTCAGACAAATCTAAGACTTCCAAGCTAACCAGCTCAACAAAAATACCGTCAGGGAGTTCTCTAATAAAATTTCCAGTGAGCTTCAAAATTCGAAGACCTTTAAGCCCATCAAATGTTGAACAATACAGAGTTGAGATCATGTTATGCCCAAGTAGTAGAATATGTAGCTTTTCCTGAAGCCTGAAGTTATTACGGCCGAGAGCTACCAACTGGTTGCTGGTCATATCTAGATATTCCAGGCTGTGATAGACGCTAAATGCCGTCATTATTCCTTTAATGCTGTTTCTGGCGAGGTGAAGTTCCCGTAGATCAGGGTTGAGAGTTATGGGAACAACGTCTAAGCCAGCTCCGTCACACATTACCACCAGCTTTTCTTCGTTACACTGGCATCTAATAGGACAAAGACAGAAAACAACGTTCTTTAAGCTGATCGTCAGGATCAGACAGATCCCAATAATACCTTGGTTTTTCATGCTCTGGTCAGGAAGATTAAGTCTGGAGAAAGAAAGGAAAAAAATAAACAAGTTTAAAAGAAATTGGAACGTCAATAAGATACATTTAAGAACCTTTTTTTATCAGTTATGATTCAATGTCATCCGAGCTTTTTCTTTAACAATTACAAAGAGACAATTAAAAAAAAGCCCCCAGCGGCACAGCGGTATGTCTGCGGACTTACAACGCTAAAATCCGGGTTTCGATACCCGTGGTGAGCAGAGCACAGAGAGCACAGCCATTGTGTAACTTCAAACAAACAAACAGTTAAAAAAATTGATTTGAGGTTTATTATTTTGACAATTTTTAAATGATATTGTAGTTTCTTATCGTTTTTGCCTAAGACTGTTTTATGACATGACCAACGAAAATATTAATTTTGCAATTTTATTTTTGAATGTTTGTTGATATTGAACTAAGTAATAACGATTTTCTGAAAGCTTTGGTGCGTCTTTATTAATCCTTTTTTAAAGAAAAGAACCTAATAAGTTAGAAAGTGATACTTTACACCGCAATTGACACTTAACAAAATCCTCATTATATGGTTCCCGATTTTTGTTTACAGGCTGGGAATTCGAGGGATTATGGTTCGCGTCCCCTTGCTGAATAAACACACGCTGCCAGCTGACAATCAAAATATATTATTCGATAACGCAGGAATAATTCGACTTGACGATGAGTGCTGTTGACTAGTTGCCTTTCCTCTAGAATCAGCTAAAAACTATGGACACGAAAATATACCTTTTGCAGCTTTGCGAGAAAATTTTAACTTTTCTCTGAGTCGCGTAAGTCTTTTCCTTGTGTCGCATATTTGCAAATCATTGGTCTATGACTCCTTGATTTGATGCTCTTTATATTAAATTTTCAGTTGGACTGCGCTTTTCGATACGAATAAAGATTTCATATTAAACATATTAAAATCTAGTTGATCCAGAAATATAGATTAAAATGATAATTATAAACCATCACACCATCTAACAGTTTATAAAACAGCTCATCATTAATTGCCTTAAGAAAATCAGTTATCACATAGATTTTTTTTCTAACAATCCATTAGTAGGATGAAAATTTAATGCGATTCGCTATATCATGACTTATTTCCAATATCAATAGAAGTTTTCAAAAGAAGAATCAGTTTACTTCATCCAGTTGGGGAAAATAATTACATCAATAACACATAAGACTAACTCCAGTAACAATTTTACACTTACAATGTGTTTCAGTAAAACTGAAACTAAAATTAACGACTATGTGAAGCTACTTATCATAGTGTGAATTCCGTCTATAATACCTACGACCTGCCTCATTTTGTGTTTGAATTGTTCTTAATAATTCAAGTTTAGTAATCTCTATACTTAAAAAAGTAATGACTGATTAGAGTACTTAAGAAATCAATTTCCGCTAGGCTAAGAAATGGTTAATTGCTAAGGACTCTTGTACGTCATCTACAGGGGTTGAGTACGTCATATTAAAACGATTTTGGAGCTTCACCACGTCGTTTTAGCCCACGTAGCTAAATCCGATCTCATTCGATCTGATGAATGCGCATCTTGACAATAGTCAAACAGCATTATTTCTAATGCAAAAAGCTCTGTCGTAGCCGTAAGGTTGTCATGCCCAAAGCACACCACACTTCTCTGAGTGCTTTCCATAAATAATATATTGTGGGAGGGCGACGGTTTCTCAAAGTCAGTTTCAACATTATGATCGCATAGACATCCGTAGGAGATGCGCGCGGTGATATCTCTAGTATGTCTTCGTATGAACTAGAATAAATTAGCGTTATGTTTTATAGCTGTGTGAGGTTGATTGGATATGTAATGAAAGCAACTTTTGTACATATGACTTATGTCGCTTTTCCAGAAGGAGATCTTCCTTGATTATTTTGCATACTATTGCCTGAGACACGTGAAAAGCTTTCACTACTGACCTTTGTTTTCGTGGATTCTCACCTGTATAAGACGCCGCACTTAGTTTATCATGTATGGTTAAAGTATGACTCGTTTTAGGTATTATTTTGGACGATAAGTTTATCCAAATTTCTTTGTTCTCCGACGCCATTAAATACGAGGATTATCCTCGCCTTGGAAGCTCTAAATCCCCGATTTAAATACATTTTTATGATCTGAGTGTATGAATATTTTGCATCAGGAAAAATGTCATATATATACTTCCCAAAAGCGATCGATCAATTTTAGGTGACACCATACTACCTACGCAACGTCAAATAGTGTCAAAAATGTAGTTCTGATACAACTTGTTACGTGGTGTATTTATATGTATTTATATGTCACATGACTTGCTGATTTGTATGTTCAAAATCGTTTAAATATAGTGAACTCAGCTCTCTGTATAACATATTTTCAAGTGAAGCCTTAACTTCCTACGTTCAACTTTACGCCCCCTTTGTTTCTAAACTGTACATCGCCATGTTTTACGGACATTAATAACTAAGATGTAATCTATGTTACTTTGAATTTTGTCGAACAATTGAAGTTCCACGCTGCTCAAATTACGCACTTTTATGTGTGTACATATGGCTGATATTATTTTGAAATATTACTTTGGTTATACACATTTTGCGTGAATATCTTATTTCGTGTTTCATCTATTTAGTTGAGAAATAGGTAAGCATTGGAACATACTTGACGCTGGTAAACATACTTTGCTTAAGTGATAATTCAAAAACTCAGACAAAATAGAAAAAGAGGAAAAACACCAAATTTTGTGCAAGATCTCAAGCGTTGCAGTAAATCCTTATTCATTCAGAAAAGTAGAAACAAGAAGATGTTGAGTATAGAAATGGAAAGACATATTTTGATTTTAGTCTTTGAATTGGTAAATATTGTAGTGTTGTACGATGAATCTGTTTCTTTTAAAACGCTTGACCCACCGCTGACTTAGTGGTGAGCTGTAGGGATACAGCATGAATTTCAGAATCCCTGAGGCTGACGCGGAGCAAATAACCAACTGTGTTGCTTTGTGTTAAAAGAGATAAACTTGAAAGGTACAGCAGATTTCAACATGCAGTTCTTTGATTATTAACAGAAATTAATCATATAAATTTTGGTATCGTTGAAATTAGTAAGGGATGTTTACGATTTGGCTATTTAAGTAAATGCTATGTACATTTTTGGATTATTATATAAAATCTTTATTAGTAATAGTTAATGCTAATTTATCAAATATTGAAGTTGTATGTTGTGATAACGCAACAAACTATATTTTGCATAGCGTAATTTTGGAATTTCATCTAATTCATGTATAGCGATATTTACGAATGGTAAAACGGTTCAATATTGTAAATGTGTTTCAAAGGCAACGAGATGTAAACATTCTTAGGACTTTCTGCAAGGTTACACGACAATTTGTTCTAGGATTAGATTACAATGTATTTCCTTGCTCATTTCTCTTTAAATGCTTAAACAAGTTATAGAATAGGTTATTTGCAAACTCTGACTAATCAGCTAATCAACTCAATTTGATCAACACCTTAAAATTGAAAACAAACACCTTCCGTTGCACTCTTAGCTGATCTTTAACGGTGTTTCCTTAGTAACATTCTCTTCAAGTGTATCAGTGTAAAAATATCTGTGGGTACTTTTCAGGAAATTGACATTATTTTTAAACTTCTATTAGACAGATTGCGTCAAGATAGCAAAATGAATAAATCAACGTAGCTTTTATGTGTGAAGCTTGAGGGTATATTGTACGGAATATTATATCATACGTGTGCAATAGTATGAAAATGACTTGATAACCTAGCCTTGTTAAAAGTATCACATCTATATGTAAGCGTTAGATGGAAAATGTTGAGGCCCAAAAAATGTCCTTAATTATTTCGACTGTTGTTAACTCTCCTTACAACCCTTGATAAATTATTATTAAAAAAAGTATAACAAATACAAGAAAAAACACTCACACACAGACATAAAATTGTAACACTCTTGATGATCTGCAAGGTAAATATATCAGGAAACACTTTCATTCAGGAAGTAGAAACGCGTACTGAAGGAAGAGTCATATTAGAAGTTTATTTAATTTTTTAGCGTAAAACTGCACAACGGATTATATGTTGTGCTCATCGTAGGGATAGAACCCTAAATATTACAATTATAAGCTCTCAAACTTTCCTTGGAGCCACAAGAGGGCTCATGTGAGAAAATAGAATCTTCTATGTTTTTTGTTATTATAGATTCAAAATTGTTATCGCCAAAGAAAAGATTAATCAATGATCCAATTATATACTTTTATAATTTCATTAAAACTATTTTTACTAAATCTTTATAGGTATCAAAGAAGTTGAAATTTTTTTCAATTGTTGCTAGGTTTTTAGCATATAAAATAAATTATTATAACACAAACGCTTTTTTTAGTTATTTAGTGTTCGAAATGTTTTACAAGCTTATAAGAAGCATTTACCCAAACTAACATTGTCCAGGGCAACTAATTAGTTCTGGTATTGAACGAATGGCTTCTTGAACAGTGTCTTGTAGAAGACAAAATGAGCTGAGATGTTACTTTTTACACACCTCTGAAATGGATAAATAAGGAGGAATGTGAAACAAACATTTGCATTTTACGTGATTTTATCACAAAAGCTAGTCCTATTAGTTTACAACGCTTTGCTAGCTTTCGGTCTTTAAACTGCAACTTTTAAAAATTCGAACTTATTTTTTAGCAACTTGCAATTTGTTTGTGATTTTTAAGCCATAAATCAACTGCCAGTTACAAATTGTTTTTTGTTCTTGAATGTTTCTTAAGTACGAACTCCACGAAATACTTTTCTAAGTAAAAGATCTGCTAGTGCCAAGGCTGTGCCTGAAGGTGTTATTAAAAATATATATCAAAGGATATAATTTTTTTACAGTCTCGATATACATACACTCACAACTTTAATAACGTGATGAGCATATTATGTTGAGTGGAAATGTACATGACATATTACGACTATTTTTACTGTAATTACGACATTTTACTTACAACATTTTTCATCGAACCTC